CGTTTAAAGAAAAACTTTGAATTTTATTGAAAATTTTTGCAATGTTTTGCAATAAAAAGGACTTTAATGTTCAATTTATTTCGTACATTTAGGTTCATATGTTAGATAGTATTGTCATGGATATGTGGAGAAAATTTGAGCGCGATCGATAAACTAGTTTTTGAGTTATCAGCCACGGCAATTTTAAGAACGTAGTTTTGAGAAAAACGCGTTTAAAGTTTCAGTCCTCCGCACTGAACGCGTGTATACCCGCGGCGCTAATCGGCCATAACTTCAAAAGGCTTCGTATTTCGCTTGAAAATTTTCAGACAATATTTTTAAGATGTTACACTAACATTTTATAGAAAAAAAATTTTGTAATTTTTTAAGATTCTAAAGGTATTGCCCCCCTTAAGTATTGTATTAATTTCTTGAGTCAATCGGTAGCGATGGGTTTAATTTTTCTTCTTCCCTGTTTCTTCTTTCTATCTATGTTGTATGTTTATAACATCACAAAGCATTGAACAACTAACTGACAAGTATCAGTTTCGATTTTTCTATCATAGTTTTTCACCATCGAACGATCGATGACTTTGTGACGTCTCCAGCGATATTGGCAATTTGAAAGTTGTAATTAGTAGCGACATGGCGTTACGATAGTCATGAATGCGTAACATCGCTCAAAGTGTAATAACCGACTCGGTACTTGGGGAGGTCTTGTTGAGGGAGAATCTCGAGAAACAAGAAATCACCGAAATCCAGAAAACTTTCGCCTACTTATAAGATGAATGGGACCTCGTTTTCGCATCCATCATTTTTCTTGGGAGTCAGGTGGTCAAGAATCAGGCGAAAAAATAAGTTGCCGAACCAGGTCAAAACCTGGTACATTTGCCTGTGGATCTGTTTCGAATTTGTTGCTCAGATAAGGCAACATAAATTACTGCTCGTTATCGCACCCTCTTTCAAGATTAATTCCGAACTTTTTGTTCCCTTATCAGTTTGCAGGTTGTTTGGTATTAACCAGATTATTCGGAGAATAAAATAAGATTGATCAGAATTTCAGGAAAGATCGATCAAGTATTCCCCTTTGAATCACTTGTTGCACTGCCCTGAGGGCTGGTGGATACAGAAACCTTAACGCCATAGAGTCGCGGCGGCCATCTTGTTTGCTTGCGGCCATCTTGTTCTCTTACGGCCATCTTGTGTACATTCGCTGTTTCACACACCTTCGAAATTTGACTCTATTAAACATGTATTGTTGTTTAAAAATATTTTATTGTGGTAAAATCTACACTTGGGTGTTGTCTTTATGATTTTCTCAATGAATGTGTCAAAAAGTGTGAATTAATTATTGTAACATTAAGACGGTAAGAAGATTCTAAACAAGAGTCTAAGACTCCATTAATGATCTTTCTTCCAAAATTATCGGAAAGGACATTTCACAGCAAAAGGAGCAACGTTCTCGACGTCACGTTTCAACGTTAATCGTTCAAAGCATAACTTCCGATGCGCTTCCATCTTTGCTGGAATTCCTACTGCACCCGTTAATTTGCCCTTTACTGTTATTTAGCAGCGTGCTTTGTTCCAATAAATGACAGGAAAACTGGAATTGCAAGATTTTGTGATATTCTTTTAATTCGGAGATAAACTTTGTATTTTAAATTTATCTTATCTGATAAGGTGCTAGTTTTTGTAGATTTTTATAGAGCTTTAAAAAATTATAAACAAACAGCTTTAAACAATTATAAACATGAGACAGACATTGTCTCAAGAAATTTATATAATTTGTTCTCTACGTGAATCGCCAAAATTTCAGCGATAAAAATAAATAAAACTCGATGCAACAATAAAGTAAAAATACCTCGATGAAGCTAGATAAATATAAACTAGATAAAAACAATAAAAGTAACTAAAATAAAAACTTCTTCGTTAATAAAAAAAAATGTGCTTCAACTTTCATTCATCCAAAGAAACAAATTTCGCAAGCAACTCTCATAGGCGATAAAATAACATAAGATAACATATTAAGATAAAAGTAACGATGAAAATCGTCTGGCGATTGGTCTACGAACGGGACATCAGATAAGCTTGTTCGACTTCGATCCTTGTTCGCGATCTCGCGTAATCTTATCGGTCCCTCTTCCGTAGCCCCCTCCAGTTTCCGTTTATCGTGGCAAAGGGATGATCCTCGATGACCTAAGAAACGCGCGAATTCATTCAGCTGAGAAATTTATCTTGCGACCCGAGCTTCTTTCGAACGATAACATCAACGGGGGTGCGCGTAATTACGTTTTACATAATTCGCCTACGAAAACTCTGTAATTTCGAACGACGTTGATTCGTTCTCCGCTAATCGCTCCTCCCTCTTTCCCGCCTCTATTTTTCACTTTTATCGCTTCGTAATCGCCAATTTCCGACGTTTCTTTTTCGGATGTTCTCTTTTTTTTCGTACAGTTTGCTCCACGGTCATTTAATTGGCTATTTATCTTTACAAAGTTGTAGAATAAGATTCACTGTAGTTTATAGCAAACGCTGTGTCAAATATTAAGTCGCTATGCTATAGTGACTATAGTAGAATAGAATTTGCAAGCATGTACACAAATAACTATAAATTATAATACTTATAGAGTTTTAGATAGCAGAAGTTTCACAAAACAGAATGAAGACCTTGAATATTGTTACTGAAGTTGTATTAATAGATTTTTAAATAGCAGAAATATTTAGAAATAGCAGAAATTTCAGAAATTTACAGTATGGAAAGCTTGAATATTATTACTGAAGTCATATATTTAAGTTCTAAGTATGAGAAAATGTACGAAGCGAGGAAACCAATATGGCGTCGCAAGCAGAAAACGCGTACTGCGCATGTCACACTGCCGCGCACTTTAAATTATTATTGTACTCTAAATTATGTAGTTACAGTGGTAAATTTATACATACTTGTCTTAACAATTATGTAATTCACAGTAGTAAACTTGTACGTAATTATTTTTGATAATTAACTACGTGATTGTTGTAATAAAGTTCGCGGTAAGTTGTGACATGCGCAGTACACGTTTTCTACCTGCGACGCCATATTGGATTTCGGGCGGCAGCTCAATTCTTCTTTATGTAGGATTGTTTTTGATGTATTTAATAATGTAAATGGAAATAGAGGGAGTGATAATAGGAAATATTTATGTAATTATTGATATAAATATTTATATAGAAGAAATATTAGAAATAATAGTAAGATAAGACAAAATTAATATTAGAAAAAAATTAATGGAACGTGGCTAAGTGATGAATGAATAGTTATGTTCTTAGAACAATTTAGAAATATTGTACTATCCCGAGTGGCCATATAGCTAGATGTCCTTACAAT